ACCTGGTGTGGGCCCGGGGCCGCCGGGCGCCGGCGCGCAGGTAGGCGCCCCCCGCGGTGGGCGGGTCGGGTCCGGTCGGGGTCCGAGCAGCAAGCTCCGATCCTGCGCCGACGGGATTACTGGGGAGGGGGCTGCACCCCCGGAAGTGGGCAGCTCCGTTTCTGGCTTGTGCAGGGCGCCCCCGCGAGGGCTCCCCCGAGCTGGGGTGTCACGGGTGCTAGTTTCTTTCAACCGCGACCCCAGTCCCAAAGCGGTGAGGCAGGAAGGTCGCCGTCCTAGTTCCCAGGAAGGGAACCCCGGGGACGGGCCTCGCCCTGCCCTGAGGAGCCAGGACCCCAGCGGGGACCCTGGCCAGCAGCCCCTCGCCGGGCCGCCCCAGCCAGGCCGGAGGTGAGGTGCCCCGGTGGGTGCCGCTCACCTCCTGCAGTCTTGGAGTGGCTTCTGGAAGTTTTCTCCCGTCCATTTCAGCCCGGAAGTTATGAGATCAGACACTACGGCCCCGCCAAGTGGGTCAGCACTTGCGTTGAGTCCATGGACTGGGATTCAGCCGTCCAGACGGGCTTTACCAAACTGAACAGCTACATTCAAGGCAAAAATGAGAAAGGTAGGGCAGTTTTCCTCATAGTTATGTGTACATATTGCGATTGCGACTCGGGGTTTACTACTGCATTTTAGCTTGTTAATGAAAGATCTTTTATAGTAGGAAAATAAACAGATTATCAGAGATCTGAGGTTTTCAGACAAGGACTGTCTTGGAGACCCTTAGTGTCAACATCTGCAATTCCCTGGTTCCACTGGAGGGAAGCCAGAAGTCCTTCCCCATGGCTAATTCTTCCGGGTCATTTGGTAACTGGTAGGCTCATGAAAATACACAAGATTAGCAATCTCAAGTCACCACCTTTGGGTCAGGCCAAAATTATATAGTTTAACAGATCTCATACTAAATTGTAAAGAAAAAAAAATGTTACCTCTAATTTCCCCTTTGATCTCTAAGAGTAGAGAATTTGCAAACCAAAAATATTAATGATACGGAGGGTGTTTAACGAGAGCCGTGAACAATTGAGTCATTTGGGCCCTATATTTTTAAAGGTGGAAATTATCTTAAAGGTTAATTTTATATCAGTGCTATAAAATAAATCAAGAAACTCACACCAAAACGGGTTAAGACTTGAAAACCAGTCACGTATATACTTTAAATTTGCTTGCATTTTGATGGTATAGGGATGAAGATAAAGATGACTGCTCCGGTGACAAGCTACGTGGAGCCCGGCCCGGGGCCTTTTAGTGAGTCTTGCATTACCGTTTCCCTGTATGTCCCCTCCGAACAGCAATCCGATCCGCCCAGGCCCTCAGAGTCAGATGTCTTCATTGAAGAGAGAGCCGCAATGACCGTGTTTGTACGGTAAGTGGCGGGTAATTTCCAGCGCTGCTGACTGCTAGTTGCCCTTGCGTTCACTCCCCACTTAGCTCCCGCGCAATTGCACCCTTCCATAAAAACAGGGCAACAGCATTCATTTCACGGTGTTTTCCTGCTGGCTTGGTTTGAGATGGTCCTAAGGTCTGTTGCTAGAGGTAATCCATTCGTTTAATGAGAAGTGTGTTGTGTATCCTCTGCATATAAAACCTAGTACAAATTATATGTCCCCAAAACAGAAGGCCTGTCATCTAGATAGACCTAGACAAAAATATCTTCAAACGCAGTCTTAGCCTGTTGGGGCTGCTATAACAACATACCATAGACTAGGTAGCTTATAAAAACCAGAGATTTATCTTTCATATTTTTGGAAGCTGGGAAGGACCTAGCACTGGCAGTTTTAGTGACAAGAGAGGGAGTGTGTTGATTCATAGATGGCACCTGCTTCCTGTGTCCTTACGTGGCAGAAGAAGCAAGGAGCTCTTTTATAAGGGCACTAATTCCATTCATGAGGGCTCCATCCTCATGACCTCCCGATACCATCATACTGGTAATGAGGATTTTAGCATATGAATTTGGGGGCCAGGGACATTCATTGTACCACATTATGCCCCTGGCCACACAGAATTCATGACTTTCTGGAATACCAAATGCATTTGTTTCACCCCAGCAGACGCTCACATCTCAGCTCATTTCAGCATTGACTCAAAAGTCTAAGCCCCAGGGTCTTATCTAAACAGCATCTAAAGCACACCCGGATGAGCCCCAAGCTGCGATTCATCCCGAGGCAGATTCTCTTCAGCTGTGAATGTGTGAAATCAGCATGTTCTGTGCTTCCAAAATAACAGCAGGGGAACGGGACATTCCCATTCTAAAGGGAGAGATGGGCAAGAGGAAATGGATAGCAAGTCCCACTTAAGACCTCACTCTTTTTTTCAAGGGTTTTACAGATCTCTGATTCTAGTAGTATGGTATTACTAGTGGTGGTGGTAGAAGTAGTAGTATATGTTTACAGTACATAATATTTACACTCCTGTGTGGAGTTGGTACCTGTACAGGACACATCCTAATTCCCTTCTTCATTCCCTTTCCCACTTCTACCTCCCTCCATCACTTGATCCTCTTCCCATTTGAGAAAGACCTACCTATCTCCTTACTTTCTGTTACTATTTTGCTCTTTATTTCTAATTTGGGTTTCTCACATAAGAGAAAGTATGCAGTACTTAGGCTTGTGTGTCTGATTTATTTCACATAGCATTATGGTCTCGAGGTATATCCATTTTCTTCCAAGTGACTCAAGTTTATTCTTCTTTATTACAGAGTAGTACTCCATTGGGTATAAATGTCACATTTTCTTTATCCACTCATCTGTTGATGAACCCCAGTCTTAAGACTTGATATTAAATTTCTTTGACTCAGGGTTCTGCCTTCCAGGCCCACTGGGGTGCGGGTCACGCCGCTAAGCTCTGCTGAACACGGTTGGGCCCCCTGAGAGCTGAGTGGCCTTACCAAGAACTTTGGGTAGCCGTGCTTTTAGGGCAGCGTTCATGGGTTGGAGTCACCGCCCCGCAGTGCTGCCGGGCTGGAATTGCAAGTCATAGCTGCCAGTCTGCTGTGCCCTGCTCCTATAGCTCCGCCGGCCTTGTGTGGACTCTGGTGACCCCGCCCTGGCCCTGGCCCTCTGCCTGGTGTGTGCGCCCCAGGCTCTGGGCAGCTCACAAGCGGGCAGGCAGTCCCCTGTGGATGTTGCCCGGCCTTCCCTCCGTGCCCTCCAGAGGGCGGGCCTCACAGCCCACCCCCAACCATGGCTCACAGAGCTCAAACCTGGGGTGGCCAAGGAGGGCTGCTTTCAGATGCAAGGAGCGGACCTGCAAGCTCGTGCCCGAGACCCCTTCTCTGAAATTCTCCTGCCCCATGCCCTGGCATTCTGGGCCTGTGATGGCGGGGCAGCGCCTGATAATCTCTAAACTGCCGTTGGGCTCAGTCCTGGCCAACAGAGTCCTGGCTTCCGTCCAGACGGCAGTGCCGACTAAGCTCATTCCTTTTCAAACTGTTGCGTGGCCACCCCCTTCTGCCCTCCTGAACAATGTTTTCACTGCGTTCAATATGGCGCGGCTAAGAATTTTCCCAGTGCCTAAGTTCTGTTTCCTTCTAATGAGAAATTCTGTGTTTAAGTTGTTTCTCTATCTGATATATTACTATAAGCAGCCACACCTTCAACATTTTGCTGAGAGAGTTGTTCGGCCAAATTCCCGTGGCGTCGCTCACAAGTTCTGCTGTCCACAAAAAAAGTACGTGAGCACGGTTCAGCCAGGTTACCTGCCCGTCCCCAGCCTCTGAGCCTCCTGCGGCTGTCTCGGTGAAGCGGCCATCTCAGCCAGGCAGCCTCCCCAGCGGGACTTCATGGTCCTCACCGGCGCACTCATCCAAACTTCTGATCGCCGTGTGATTCTGTCCCCGTCCGTCCATCCTCCCTGTCACTTCCTCAGACTCTCACAGGAACTGAGGTGGAGTAAGTCATTTCCCTCTGCCCGGTTCTCAGCACAATGGCTGCTGCTCCCAGCAGGCACTGCGCCGTGGCCTGATCGCAAGTGAATTCTGTCTTCACTGCCTGACTTCAGTGCTCCTCTCCCCCGGAGCTGTGGTCTTTCTTCCCCACCCTGCTGCTCCGTTTGAAATCCTCTGGGAGTGACCCGTGGCTGCCAGGGTGAAGCGCAGGTTGTCCACAGGGCCACAGTGGCCTTTGTAATGTCCCCTGCCCTGCCTGGCGGCCCTCTGGCCGAGGTTTGCAGCTGCTCCTATGACTTTCCCATCCTTCATGGGACCGCTGTGTTCTTCGTATCTCTTACCTTGGACCCCACGCGCGTTGGCCAGCTTTTCCTGTTGACTGTCCTCATCTGTCGCACTGTCTCATGAGGCCACAGTGAGGATCAAATGAATTAATTGATGTGAAACACTTGGAAATGCTCACCATGCCCTTTGATTCTCCAGCCAGCCACTCTGGCCTTGCTGCCCTTCCTTCTGTTATCATTATTGTGCTAAGTTATAATGTCCTGCTTATAGACGATAACTCTCTCAGGAATATGGCGGCTGTGACCATGGCCAGCAAGGGAGATGTGGGGGAGTGGAGGAGAATAATCTATGTATGGAAACAAGCAGTGGATAGATCATTGCAGAACAACATGTTTCCAGAGAACAGAAGATGACTTCCAATTAGAGGGTTCAGGAATTCTTCTTAAGGAAAAAATGGGATCTGTGTTAGCTCTTCATTAAGGAAATTAATAAATCTAAGAAGCAAAATGTTCCTTAACATGTGGCTCAGAGCTATATTAAGTACCGTGATGGGGATGATAGGAGAGCTCATCAGCTCACCTGCCGTGGTTTATATTATACATCCGTGCCCACGGAGACAGCTAGATTTACTCTGCAGATTTAAAGGGAGCTGTGTGCCGGGAGCATGTCTAGTTCAGGGCAGACATTGCTGACAGAACAGACGTGGCTTGTGCCTTTGAGAGTTGACATCCTACACGAAGCGAGGCAAGACTGATTTCCTGCATTACCACATTGTTGATGAAACTTTACCAAAGAAGGCATGTTAGGCATATTTTTGTCTTTCAGTGTTTCTTTTTTTTTTTTTTTTGGTTTTTCTCCGGTACCGGGAACCGAACTCACGACCTTGCGCTTGCCAGGCAGGCGCTTTTGCCACTGAGCTAAATCCCCAGCCCCTCTTTCAGTGTTTCTTAGTCCTAATCTTCAAAATCAAATTTATCATGCTTGCGTGCCAGTGGCTCAGCAAGATGAGTGTGCAGTCATGATTTAACCTCAGGGTACTTGGTTTACAGGCCTTAAAATCTGTACTTAAATTTTTGTTCTCTTTCCTGCTCCTCATTGAGATCTTTTCTCCCCCATCTTTACAGCAGCCTCCTCATGAGCTGACGCCCTCCAGTCTCGGTTCCCTCTCTCCGCCGTGTTCTCACCCACATGTGCTCAGGCTGCTTTCTGGAAAGGCCTTGGGCCTTGGAATATTCTAGAAAGGCCTTGGGCCAAGATACCAAGGCCTTCCCCCCGATCTCGTTTCATGCTGTGTACTTTCCGACTTCTGTTCCTTTTCTTATCCCTCCCTTTCTTTGCTCAGCAGAACCATCCTGCACTGCAGCCCGGCTCAGATGCACCCCACACCCCCACCCCATGCCCTGGATCTCTCCAGATCCCCAGCGCTTCCCCAGCTGGGCTTGCTTCCATTACAGTTCTTCTCAGGAGGTAGAGAGAGAGTTGCCAGTGTTGGTCTCTTCTGCTAACCCATAAATGTATGGAGGGCTCAACTGTATCATACTCATCTGTGACCCGGTATCTATGCTTTGCCCAAGGAGAAAAAGAAAGGGTGGGTGTTTAATAGAAAATGGAAAGGTCTGAGCTGGGTGCATGGAGTGCACCCATAATCCTAGCTACTAGGGAGGCTGAGGCCGGAGGGTTGCTTGAGCCCAGGAGTTCCAGGACATCCTGGGGAATATAGTGAGACTCCAGCTAAATTAAACAGGAAAGAGAGAGAGACAGAGAGGGAGACAGAGAGAGAAAGGGAAAGAAAAAAGAGAGAGAATAAATTGAGAGTCTGGAGCGGGACCTAAGGGGTTTCAGTGTAGTTCTCGACCAGCAAGATTTGGATACTTGCTAGAAACACAAGGAAGGTGCTAACCCAAACCTCCAGAATCCAAATTTTCACAAGATATAATAAGTTTGAGCAGCACAGGGGTTGAGCACATGAGACTGGGTAAGTTGCAGATTTGCCTGTCAACTGCCGAGTCTTGGGTGTTCCCCGGGCTTCCCCGTGGGTCTGAGGCCACGTGAGGCGAGCCACAGGGAGGGATGGTCAGTGAAGCAGCTTGGAAGCTGCACTTCCTCCAACATTCGGGGGGCAGCATCTCAGCTGACAATCGCAGCAGGTGCCGCGCACCTGTAACCCCCGCACTCGAGGACACCCTGCGCTAAGCAGCAAGGTCAGTGTCAGCCTGAACTATGCAGCGAGACTGTGTCTCAAAAAAACAAAGTCATTTACATTTGCTCACTTTTCCCTTTGTAGGTCTTTCGATGGATTCTCTAGCGCCCAGAAGAATCAAGAACAACTTTTGACATTAGCAAGCATTTTGAGGGAAGACGGAAAAGTCTTCGATGAAAAAGTGTTCTACACTGCGAGCTACAGCAGTCCTTTCAAGTTGCTTGACAAAGATAATGAAGTGTGGTTGATTCAGAAAAACAAAGCCCCCGAAACAAACGCATGAGACGGCGAAAGGAGGCTCACAGCTCAGTCAAACCTTCCTGTTCGCATCAACACCCCCGCTAGAGAAAGCCGGCGTCTAGTCAGTCCTTCTCTCTGGGGTCCCACCACAAAGTGCTCTGATTTCCCATGTACCTTTCTGAATGCTTGAAGCTTCCCGTAGATACACAGACCCGAGGGACGGATCTGTAAATGTGTAAGCCAGCCATCTCTGATGGGCTGTGTTTCTGTGAGGAACCAGGAACTATCGCGTTATTTTCCCCTTCTTTACCATATCATGATCATGCGGCCTCTTCTACTTGGGTTTGGATCGGGTGGATGTTATCCCTGTATATAGTATCAGTAAAAACATTAAAGATGTGTCCTGTGTGGAACTACTGAGGCACAGGCCTGAGAGGGGAAATTCAATTGGACACAAAAATACATGACTGTTTGCAGCTGCTACTGTTACATTTTCTGTTGAGCTGCCTTCTCTATCTGCCCATGCCCCACCAAGAAAATGCTTCCCTCCAAGTTGAAATTTTCTTTCCAGGACTGAGGATTGAACCCAGGGTCTTCGTACTAAGCTATATTCCAGTCCTTTTTATTTTCTTGAGAAAAGTTGCTGATTGCCGGAATCCTCCTGCCTCAGCTTCCCAGAGTGGTGAGATGACTGGCATGCAGTATCATGCCTGACTAAAAGTGCTGATATTTTGGAACAGAGAATAAGTCTGTGAAGTTAGGGACTCCTTTTTCTGCTTGGAACTCAAGGTGTGTTTCTTGCAGAAATGTACACAAACGAACACTTTTAAAATCCACTCAAATTTTTAAAGGATTTCATATAGCACACATTTCTAGAGGTTGTGTAAAATGATTAGTTATTCAAAGAGTCGGCTGCTGCAGGATCAAGGAGGTTAGAAGTCCTTGCCTGACTGGTTTGGGAAGTGTTTGTCCTGGGAAAGATGAGTCACAGTCAGGGCTCTGGCAGCCGGTCACTGGCAGCTTGTCTAGGAAGGGCACAAGGGGGGCCATTGTGTCCCAGGGATGGTGGCTCTAGGAGCAGGGAGATGAGCAGTGAGCTCAGCAACTTCCTGATGGTTCAAGGTGCCCATGAGGATACAGGCGCCTGTTCCCCTCATTGTCTGTCCCAACAGCGGCCCCATGTTCACTTTTCGGAGGCAACTGCCTGGCTCGGAGATCAGCACATCCAGTGGGTTGGAAGGGGAAGATGATGCCTAAGGTCCCTTCAGCCCTAACATTATGCAGCTCTTAAAATTAGTCTCCCTGGAGTATACTCTGCCATAAAGAAAGAAACATGGGTCACTTGTAAGAAAAAGGATGCACCTTGAGACCATATGGATGGAGTAAATCAGGCACACCAGCCTAAATATCTCATGGTTTCTTTTATATGAAAAACCCAAAGTCTAAATAAGGAACAAAATAAAAGAGAAGATAATAGGATACAGGGAGATAGGTCTTTTGCAAATGGGAAGGGGACCAAAGACGGGACCGAGGGAGGGGAAGGGGATTAAAAAGAGGTGAGATGCCTTATGTCCACGCACCAGCCCCCTCTGATGAATGTGATCACGGTGTACTGCCAAGAAATACTACTAAAATTATTAAAAGTTTTAAAAGGTTAATCTCCCTGACCCAGATGCAGAACACCATCCCCACAGTTAATGTTTCCATGGCTGATACTTATGGATTACCTTCTAAGCACTGTTCCAAATGCTTTGCCTGAATTTCTCACACTCAACTCTCAAAACAGCACATTTGATGATCCCATTTTACAGATGAGGACATTGAGGCACAGAACTGTAAGGTAACGTGCCTTGGACAAGAGGGCAGAGACTGGTTGGAGGCCAGGTGGTCTGACTCCTGAGCTCGCGCTATTTACAGCTTCACCTCCTGGGCACACTGGTGGGGTTCTTCCCACATAGAAATAATTCCCATGATTATGATTTCAGAGATGACTGAGACTGTGATTTTTTAAAAAATACAAAACCAAGCTAGATTTCTGGCTTTGAAATTATTATCAATATAAATTTTAAAATTTCAGGCAGTTATTTCCTGAAGGAATCTTCTTGAATTGCACATTGAATTTGATTCTTTGCATATTGATGCTTGCCAAAAAGGAATGAGGTTTCTTTTATAGCACACTTACCATCACTAACTGACTAATTCTAGCCCTTTTACAGATGAATGTCTACCATACTGACCTCTGCTGCTATGTGCCAAGTATTTCTAATATTTACCCCGTAGTCCTAAATGAAACGTGCATTGCTTGCTTAGGCACTAAATTCCATTTTAAATGAGAAGCAAATTTCTAATGACCAGGACTTACTGTAATCTGAAATATGTTCAAGAAAAATAACTGATTTTGTACTACTCATATTCATTTCCCCCTCCTCCTCCTTGAAACATAAGATAAAACATTTTCCAGGCTTAAGTTGATCAACTCAGAGATGATTTCTCACGGCAATGAAGCAGTTTAATTTTGTAGCTGGCACTGATTGCAAAACACCCCTTACGTTGATGTTTCTTTTGCGTTCTTTTTTTTCTTCCCTTATCCATGGAAATTGTGCCTAGGCTTTTTTCTAAGTCTCCATCTTCTGCTTGTGCTGCTGATCTAATGCTTGCTACCGCTGTGGGTGCATCTTTGCTGTCTCCCCCTTCTGCTCTCATTCTTTAGGTCACTATAGAGCCCTCTTATGTTCCAGGCACCACGCTAGTGGCTGGGATATGGCGGACGTCACACAGCGTGGCCAGGAAAGGTCTCTCCAAAGAAGAGACCCTGGCGGTGTGAAAGATAAACGCCAGGGCAGACAGAAGGGGAGCGCTCTGGGCAGCAGTGGCGGTGACAAAGGAAGAGGCACGTTCAGTGCCCACAGCACAACGCTGTGCATACTGCGCTGGAGAGCTGGGCTTGTAGGGCACCGTCTGTCTGGATAAGGCAAATTGCTGACCCTATGCAGAGTTTTAGGAAAGGGAGAGTTCAAGGATTAACAGACTTTCAAGTGCATTCAGGGGTTGACTGAGCTTTAGTTGTGGAGGTACAGTAAGCAAAGTGAGGGCTACTGCTGACGGGCGGGATTTAGAAGCCTGCTTTAGAAGTGGGGTTACTGGTGCCAAGTTGTCATTGACTATTTCTGACACTTACTTGTTAGGGGGACCAAAGAACGGTCAGTTCTTTTGAGGGATTTGGAGTTGGGGCAGACAGCCAGCCACACAGGAGTGAGCCATTCAGATTTACCTTCAAGGAAGTACACACCATCTTGTAAGACAAGGGCAGACCATTCTGAGGGGAGGACCCAGCCCGTCACTGGGCAAGGCAAGGGTAGCTGAATGCGTGCATTTTCCTGCCAACTTTCAGTCAGCGAGTGAGCAAGGTGGTGGTACAAGACTGAGCCATTTCTGGCTCCAGACTCCTCTAAGAAACAGCCTTCATTCTGGGTCTCCCAGGTGGACTGGCTCACACCTTGTCAGCTCTGTATTGCAATCTGATGGGGCATCTGCTCAGTCCTTGCCCTTTCGGAGGAGCAGCTTCACCACACATCCTTATGCTTCTAACTCCCTCTCAGCCTCAGCCTGGCTTGGGTGACACCACACACGGGAGGAGCTTCTTGACTGGGGGATAATTCTTAAGATACAGGATTTACAGCCATGAAAAAAGACCATGCACAGCAGAGGACAGGGCAAACTCACTGCTCTGCAGAGGCTCATAGAAGCCTAGAAGAATGACAGAAATGTTGGAAAACCTGGGTTTGTCGAACAGTAGAGGAATGAGAGGGCTTGGGCAAGGGGCAGGCTGAAATGGGTAACATGGAGAAAGCTGTCCTGTTGGGAGAGTGTATTCTCTTGAGGAAGGCCAAGGGGGGCCATCGTTCATCTAAGCCATGGAGAATGCACGGTGACAGGTATACGCATGGCCAAGGAGCTCAGTGGTGACTCCTCTGCAGTCCCACACCGGCAGGAAAGGCTGTGATGGAACTTGGGGCTTGCTGAGAGCAATATGAGGGCCTCCAAAAGACCAGGAGCCAATGGTGACTGCAGGAATCACTTTGTTCTCATTATCATGTTAACCTCCAAATTCAAAATGGCAGCCAGCAGCCTGGCCTGTGAATTCTTGTGGAGATGCTTAACAGAACACCGTTTCCCTAGGGACAATATAGATGGTGTGGTGGATTGACAGCTGGTGGTCAACTTCTAACACCCAGCTGAATTGAGTAAGCACGGTGCTGGGTGTGGGAGGCCAAACTGAGGATTGTTGCCAGCAGCATAAGAGGCAGAACTGGAGAAGAAGAAGGCTGTTGGGAACTGAGGGAGGCTGTTGGGAGCTGGTAGAAGCTGCTGGAAGCTGCTGGGAGCCTGTTGGAAGTGGAGAGAAGCTGCAAGGAGCTGTTGGTTTTCTTGGAAGAGCGTGTCATGCTGGCTTTCTTGATGAACTTGGCTGTTTTCATCCTCCAAGGAGCTCGGGACCTTGTTGCTGAGAATGGCTTCGGTTCACTTTGGGGGAGCTCTGGTTCTCACTCTGAGTAGTGCTTCCTGGCTCCAGAGGGGAAGATGGTTCCCTACTCAATCTCCTGGAGAAGCTTGTTACATTGGCTTTCTTGATGGGAACTCAGTTGGCTTGATCTTTGGAGGAGCTTGGGACCTCACTGTTGCTGAGGATTGCTATGGACCTCACAGAGCTTCCGGGGAGCTCTGCTTCTTACGTTGAGCATCGCTTCCTGGCTCCAGTTCAGATCCCTCAGCCTGCTATCACAGATCCTTCATCTCGCTGGCACAGACTTTCTAGCTCCCACCACTGACCTTTCGGTCTCCTAACACGCCCTTTTGAACCGGGCTTGCTTGGGTTTTTTTTTTGGGTTTTGGGCTTCCTTTTGGCGGCTTGGGGGGCTTTTTTTTGGGTTTTGGTTTTTCGGTTGGCTTCTTTTAAACCTTTTTGTTGGGTTCCGGGCCTTCGGCAGGTTCTTTGGTTTTTTGTTTTTTGGCCGGTTTTCTTGCCTTTTTTTTTTTTTGCTTTTTTGGTTGCTTTTTTTGGTTATTTTTTTAAATATGTGTCCTGTATTATATTGTTCCCTTTGTAAAATAAGCCCCAAAGTGTAACATATGGGTGGGCAATAAAGGCAGTGTTTTATATATAATCAGAAGAAGGCAAGATGGGTGAGCACAAGGCTGAGAGAGATCGCACCGATCAAGAAACCCACCATGACTCATTTCCCAGTTCCCAGGGCTGAGACAGTTTTCTGACCCAAAGCTCACAATTGAAGAGGATGCTGGGCCCTGAGGACAGTCCCTGCAACGTGGCCACAAGTGTGCACCGTAGTGATTCTCCGTCTTTTCCTGACAGGACTTGTGGCCATTTGTGCAAGTGGCCACACAGTGGAGGAAA